TCCCTTATGAAGTTTCTGTTGTGCCATTTGGTGGCTCTATAAATGGGACAGTCATAGCTAAATGAAAGCCTGTAAAAACAATCTCCCTAATGTGATTTGACCACAGAATAAACATGTGAGATCCAATAACAAACAGATTTCTGAAGACATGAGAAGACACTGAGACATACAGTTATAAAATCATATAATGTGACAAGAAGCAGGCCTGAATGCAGAAGGGAACATCTATGATTGTGAAAGGACAAATAATGAGATCTTTGCCAAAAAAAATAAATAAATAAATAAAAAGGAGCAGATGTTTTCATTCTTTTTGTCCCTGAAAAGAAAGAAAGAAATTAAAAGAATGCAATTCTGGTGTCAGGGGTGCACATTGCACATGCACCCACACACAGCTGCTTCCATTTAGCCAGGCCAAGCTAAGCCACTGACCATGATGCTATAAAGCTTACGACAGGCCTGTACCAAGCAGACATCCTCATTTGGTTCAGCTTCTGTTTTTCTGCCATACAGATTTTACTAATAATTCGAGTCAAAATCATAGGTCTCCCACTGAGCATTGCTGGGCATGGTCAATAAAACTAAATCATTTGGTCACTTTGTCAAATGTTTCATTAGAGATTCCTCAGCAGATGAGGATTAATGTGTTGCCCCTTTACAGATAAATCAAATTATGGAGAAAATCTCCCTGAACCCCAGGGATTTGATGCACAGTTTCTAATCCTATCAAGAACGATGAGTCAGTTTGTCTCTTTGTCTTTTTAATCTTTTATTTGCTCTGTCTCACACTTTTTGAGTGCTCACTAGAAACTGTTTGAAAAATGTGAGCTCAGCTAAAACAGAGCCGGATGAAAACATTTTATGGGAATTCCATTCTATGAGGAACCTGCTTGGGAACTGTAATATTGACCTCATCCCAGTCTCTCACCTTTCACATTTTTTCAATCTCTCTTTCTCTGTTCAGTCCCCCTGGAGGTGCTCCTAGCTTTGCACCTCTTTAGTCATGAGTCTGACATCCAGTCACACCATCTAATCGCTCCTCTGGAGCTCTAGACTGTCATTGACTTACATGATGAACAGTTTGCCCGGTGAGCTCTTGGCTTTAGGTGATTTTTATTTGAGTGTTAAGTTGTTTTAGATGTCTTTGGATTGAAGATGACTGAGTCCTTATAGTTGTCTGTTCTGATTTCTTCTCCTCTACCTTGATTTACCTTCTAACCAGATGAATCTCATGAAAACTGTCAAGAAATACCCATTAAAATTGCCCAAAAATTATTATAAATTTTTTTAAATTATTATTCTGTCTGTTAGCTTTTAGACCATACATATAATTGTATACTTGTCTAAAGATATTGGGTGTTAAAATAATATATATATATATATATATATTATTGTATACAATATTATTTTTCTATTTGAATTAGGACCCAGACTTTTTTGTGAGATTCACCCAAGTGTATTCAGAAAGACCTTTTTTTCCTCTGTCTTTACCCCTCTCTGTCATTCGTTTTTCAACCCAGGCACCTGCTCTATCTCCTCTGCTTTCACTATATGCCTCAGCATAGTTTGTAGTGCTCCACTCCCAGGTGAGTAATGCTATACATTAAGTTCTGTGCTTGTGTTTGTTTTTTTGTTGATGCATTATGCATGTTGTGTTGTCTCAATTATATATATATATATATATATATATATATGTGTGTGCCTGCTATTACACTGCAAAAAAATCATGTCTTGTGGCACTGGCAGATTGTTTCTGACTTTTTTTTCTGCTACAAGACAAAATACCTTTGTATTCAAGATGCACCCTGAAAACAAGTGTTTAGTGTTTATATCAGATAAAATGTATCTTGTTTCAAGGACTTTTAGATATTTTTACTTGAAAACAATATGATTTTTTTTTTAAATGTTAAGAACATTGAACTGTAAGAACTGTAACATTGACCTCAGCCCAGTCTCTCACCTTTCACATTTTTTTTCAATCTCACTTTCTCTGTTCAGTCCCCCTGGAGGTGCTCCTAGCTTTGCACCTCTTTAGTCACGAGTCTGACATCCAGTTCCCATCAAATAATATGTATATATACAGTGGGTACGGAAAGTATTCAGACCCCCTTAAATTTTTCACTCTTTGTTATATTGCAGCCATTTGCTAAAATCATTTAAGTTATTTTTTTTTTCCTCATTAATGTACACACAGCACCCCATATTGACATAGAATATTATTTTTCTATTTGAATTAGGAACCAGACTTTTTTGTGAGATTCACCCAAGTGTATTCAGAAAGACCTTTTGTCCTCTGTCTTTACCCCCTCTGCCATTCCTTTTTCAACCAAGGCACCTGCTCTATCTTCTCTGCTTTCACTATCTGCCTCAGCATAGTTTGTAGTGCTCCACTCCCAGGTGAGTAATGCTATACATTAAGTTCTGTGCTAGTGTTTTTTTTTTTTTTTTTGATGCATTATGCATGTTGTGCTGTCTCAATTATTTATATATATATATATATACACACACACACACACACACATACACACACATACACACATTTAGTTAAATGTGTTTATTTATTTTACCTGAGTACTTCATGCTTAAGTGCTTAAGAGACTGTCAGTATCTCTCTTTAGATATAACATAGCCCTGGTTCCTGAGTTTCATGGAAAAATGTTGTCTTCCTGTGAGGCTTTGGGGCAAATACTCCAATTCCTCCTGCCCCACAACACCAGGAATAAATCATTTGCTTAAAATCTTTACTGCTTTTGGCACATATGTATGTGCACAAGTGTGTACACATGTATGCATGTTCAAATTCCTGTTAAAGGACTGGGGACACAACAGATATTATTTATCCACTGGGTTTTGAACATTGTGGAAATTACAAGGGATTTTTCCCCACTCAAGCATAGAAAGGGACACCTGTGATGACTATATGTTCCAGATGTGGGGAGGCAGTAAGCAGTGTGGGCCTTCAAGCCTTCATTTTAGTAAATCAGTCTCCATCCCATTCAGTTCTCAGGGCCCATTCTCAGTCGCAGTCTGAGTAACAGACTCCAGTATCAGATTAACTGTTATTGTTAAACAGATTAACACACTCCACATGGGGCCCATTTATGAAGTGTCTGATTCATGATGTGAGAGTGGCTGATGACAGATGGATGATTTCATTCTGACACTTTGTAGCACTGTTTGTCTGGAGGATCTGATTTTGAGTAAATTGTAATTGTTTTGTTATTCTGCTTATTTTTAGTGTTTTGGAGTCCTGAACTGGCTATTGGTGCAAAATCCTTTGACACATTGAGCCTTGGTTTTTGTGTGGGTGACACAAGTTCAAATCTGGCTTACAACATCTTCCGTGTTTTTCCTAATTTCCTGTCTTCACTCTACTGTTTTATTGATAAAAATAGAAAAAGCCCCCCCCCCAAAAAGCGTTTAAGTGAAATATCTGGCTTTAGAGTCACCAAATGAAAGACACCAAATTTCAGATTACCTCAGACTTGGAGAAATATATTCTCAGTGGGAGAACTCATAATCCAAATCATCTTTCCTCATATTAAGTAAATTAGACATTTGAAAGCAGTTAAATATATCTGAGTTGATGAGCAGCTTCATATTGCACTTCAACTGCTTCAACCCTACATTTAAAATATCATGTGGTCTCATGTAATTTAGGCTATCCACATGCAGGCACTTGTCCCTCTAATTAAAATTCCCTCCAGACCATGTCAGCTAAATTGAATAAACCATTTGGGCTATTTTTCTGTTTAAAGAAACCAGCCATATCAAGCCCTGCAAATTCCTTGAAAATATATTTGTTATAGCATATCAGCACCATAACATTTACAGTGGGACTGAATAAGCAAGGCAGAGATAAATGTTTCTACATTTGCCTAAGGACCACAGGCCATTTAGCCAACACAGTAAGGCCATGTCCACACGTACACAGGTATTTTTATAAACAGTTTTTCCTTCTTCCGTTTTAAAAAAAATCTCCGTCCACATGAAAACGCATGTGCATGCTATGAAGCACTGTCAAGAGCATGCCAAACCAACAGGTGGCGATATAATCTCAACCGTAAAGCCATGTTGGCCAAACATAAGTCTGAAAAAGTTTCCAGTAGGCGGAGATAACCGTGCAGGCTCCGACGTCACAAGCCAAAAACTCCAGTTTCGCTGTCTACACGATAACATTGCAACCAAAGTTTTTGAAAATCTTCACCTTGGCAGGAGTTTTCAAAAATGTTCGTTTCAGTGACCTGGTGCTGCGTTTGAGTGTGGACGAACGGCCAAACCGCATAGAAAAGGCTGTGGCTTTAAAATAACCGTGTTCGTGTGGTTCTTTTGTGCTAACAGCCTCCTTTACACCTGGCATTAGTTTTTAAAATCGTTGGGGTGGGGTGGGGTGGGGTGGGGGGGGGGCTGTTTACAGTGCCAGTAGTACCAAATCAATTCTGTACCCGCTCGTCTCACTTTCAAAAGCTCCTGTCGAATTACAAAATAGTGATGTTACGTTCGTGAACGAATCATTCTTTTTGACCGAATCTTTTAGGTGAACGAATCGTTCTCGTTCATGTAATCCATTAGGTATGAAGGTAAATGACGTCAAAAGATTTGCATGTGCAGGGTAGTATTTGTGGACGTGTACATAAGACTGTAAGTGTGAATTAAATTTGCATGCACAAGAGAAGCTTTGTAAAGGTGTAAATTGTGTTTCAAGCGCAAGAAAAAAATATTTGCAGCATTTTACTGTTATTCGTAAGTGTAATTCATGTATTGTGAAACTGCAGCTTCAAGCTAACGCAAAATAAATATAATATGCATTCTTCTGACTTCCGTTTTTCCACGCTTACACTTTTGCCATGTTTTTTTTGCCAAAAGACAGTCAAAAGCACTACAAGCCTGTGAACAGTGATTTGCAAGCGAAAACAACAGTTTAAAGAACTGGAAAACGGATTGACTTCGTAGAACCAATCTGTATGTGTAAAAAAACAAACTGTTGCAAATGGCTAAATTACTTGTGTATGTAGCGCAAAAAGTTCCCGAAATAAACCGATATGTACAGCTCCGTCTTTCTTTTCTCTGCGCTTACAATTTTGGCACGATTCTCTGACTAACCGAGTTTTGCAAGCACGAGGGGAGGGCGTGTCCACCTTCTTCTTGTAGCCAATCAAATGAGGCTATCGCTGACTCTCCATTTACTCTTATCTGATTGGTTCAATAAGCACATCATACGCCAAGACATTTATCTTCATTTAGTTCAGGATTGTTCTTGCTGCCGGAATGGTACTTTTAACGTACACATACAATAAAAAAGTTAATTAAAAAATAACAACTTAATTAAAACATGATATTTTATAAGTTGTGTACCATTAGGCTGTGTTCATACTGAATTTCAAACTGTAGTTTCCTTCTCCTCCTCAACAGGCTAAATGATATATTAGTTTATTGTAATATTATATTGCAATTTTGATGATACTTAAAGAAGGTCTAGTATCTGCACTAGCCTAATTCATGCATAATTTCACCTGTCTACTGATCAATTTTTTAACACAAATTTTGTCCAATAATAATTGAACCAACAGAACCAACACTAATGTTTTTTTTGTTTTTTTTTTAGCATGTTGTAATTTCAGGGGATTTTACAAAATATTACTAAAATATTTATTAAAATATTTATCTCTAACTTATTCACCATTTATCATCTGTAATACTATCGTGTAACCACTAGATGGCTGTTTAGCTCTCTATATATACAGTAAACATATAAACATGGCTGTGTGTTGCCTATATTGGCTGGGAACTTTGGATTCCCACATAATTAGTTACTTGAATTTGGATATATATTTAGACATTATTAAATACATATTTATCAAAGTTTTTGCATTAGTCAAATCTGGACACAAAGAAAGCATTTTGTTACTCATTCTTGCTTCATATAATAGCTTGATCAGTCACAT